CCACCACCACTGCTACCACCGCCTCAGCACCACGGCCACTGCCATGGCTCCCACCACCACCACAGCTACCACCACCTCAGTACCACGGCCACTGCCATGGCTCCCACCACCACCACAGCTACCACCACCTCAGTACCACGGCCACTGCCATGGCTCCCACCACCACCACCACTGCTCCCACCGCCTCAGTCCACGGCCTCTACCATGGCTCCCACCACCACCACCACCACTGCTACCACCACTTCAGTACCACGGCCACTGCCTTGGCTCCCACCACCACCACTGCCATGACCACTTCCATGGCTCCCAGCATCATCACCACTGCCCCTGCTACTAGCACTACTCCTGTAGAACCAGTCGCAGTGGCAGGGTCCCTTCCCATGTGGGCCCCTTTCGTAGGAGAGCTCACCCCGTGGGATTCACGGTATCTCCATCTTATAGGTCACTGAGGCCCAGAATGCTGAGGGGACAGGACCCATCTCCAGGACCTCAGCCTTAGGGCAGGGTCTACAGAAGGCACAAAGGGTCTTCATTCTCCCCAGAAGAACATCAGGGCTCAGGGTCACCAGCCTGGGCACCCTGGGGCCGAGCAGGTGAAGCCCGAGCTCCCCAAGCCCTGCGCGTGCGGCGGGTCAAGTGGAACGTCAGGGAAGCCCCAGCGCCGCCCCGCGGATGGACTACAGAGGCCCGGCCTCGGCTGCTTCTGCGCTCAGCCGGGCTTGCCCCAGGGTGGCGCCCGCATCACGGGGGCCCCACTGCCCCCGGACTCCCGGATGGGGTCAAGTCACTTCTCCCTCTCATCACGAGAAAGAGAACTGGCTTGGGAACGGGGGCTGGGCTGTGGGACAGCCCCTCTCCCCGGGAGCTTGGTGAAAATACAGACCCCCCGGCCCCTCAGGGCCCTCACTGCCTCCAGACTGTGATCCGGGGGCTCTGGGGTGCAGCCCGGGAACCCGGGGATTCTGTTCAGGCTGACCTTCACCCTGGGACACACGTGACACCGTGTAGAATGGGACCAGGAGGACGGCGGGCTGCACCCAGGGCCCCAGCTGTTCAGCAGCACGAAAGCCCGTTGCTGTTAGAAAGACCTTCCTCCCCCTCGCTTTGCCGACAGCAAGCCGTTGCCCCAAGAGAGAAAGGGGCTTGGTCAAGGTCTCTGAGCAAATCGACCCCAGGCTGGGACAAGGACCACCAGGTGAGACTGATACTGTCGCCGCAGGGACGTGCCAGACCCAGTTCCCATCCTAGCACCCGCCCCAAGAGCCCGGGTGGCCCCTGCCACAGGCCCCCTCACCCATATGCCCACGGCCACGTTCAGGGCAAAATACGCAGTGATGACACCGATGTCAGCCGCACTCAGCTGTGGCCCGGGAGCGTGGAGGTCGCCGGTGGAGTTGTTGGCCATGGCCGTCCCACGGTGGTGCCAGCTCTGAGCGGAGGGACTGAGGGGCAAACCAGGTTGGAAAGGCCTTCCTGGCAAGGAATTAATTGATCATTAAACCGAGTGAGACGGTGGCAGCCCCAGCCGACGGCGTGGCCGTGAGCAGAGCAGCTGCTGTCCTCCCTGCTGCGGGCTCGCCTCCTCCCCTCACAGGGCACTGGGGAAATAAGTGGAGTTTCGTGGATCCAAAGGCAACCCGAATTGACCCGGAAAGAAAGGGCTGAGTTGCCTAACGGGCGGCTTGATGTCTGTCTAGTTTGTACAGGAAGCACAGAGTGCTGGATGGACGCCTCGCCTCTGGGGACCCTGCGAGACGGCAGCCCTGTCCGCCAGCAGCTGTCGGGCTGTGAGCAGGCTGGGAGGGACTTGGGATGGTGACTCTGTCATTGTGGTTCACTTCCAGCCATGACAGCCCTGTCTCAGAAATGTCCCCCTGTTGGACAATAAGTCCTGCTGCCGACATCACTGCTCTCTTTTCCTAGACCGTGAGGCAGCCCTGAGCCCCTCAACTCAACCACCCATTAGGCCCCCCAGTTCTGCCTGGGACCACAGAGGGACCAACATCTATCAGACACCGAGGACCGCGCTTGGTTGTTCTGCGCACGATCCCATTTCATGCTCAACGCAGCCAAGCCGCACAGGAGGCGATGTCTGATCCCAGCCAAGGAAACAGAGGGGAAAATGAGGCCCAGAGGCCGAGCCATCTGTCATCACAGTCATGAAAGGGGCAGAGCTGGATTCGGCTATAGATCGGGCCCCAGTGTCCCCACCATGGTGACAGTGACAGCTCTGGTTTCATTTGGATTCCATCATGTCCTGATGCTCACTCAAACAGTGCACACAGCCGGGCTGGCCCGTGGTCTCAAGCCTCAGCTCGGTGACACGGCTAGTGACTTTGCAAAGCATTTGGAGTTTAACCAGACACGCAGCCCTTCCAGAAGTGTTAATGAGTGTGCAGCTGCCACTGAGAACACGCTGGCCTGCGAGCCCAGCGGGGCCTGTTACTGGGTAACCCTGGGGTGGGAGTGAAGATTAACCCCTCACACGCAGGGCCAAGCAGAGGAGGGAAACGGCGAAGTCACTGCCGACAGTAAACCCCAGGCAGGCTCAGCCGGCCGCCGCCCTGCCACCCACCCCTGCCTCCCACCAACCTCACATGGTCTTCGCTTCCCAAGTGAAAGCTCGAAATGTATTGTGAATCGAAAGGTCGCTGCTCACCGGCCAGAGGGCCCAGCCGGACACCACCTGGATTGAGTCCACCTGTCTCATTAGGGTGAAGTGGTTGAGCCAACAGCATCTTGTCCCTTCTCCTCGGCTGGGTCTCGGAAGGAAATAAACCCTTTACAGGTAACTTCTGAGCGAAGTCTCAGGGAAGGAAGCAATGATTCTCGTTCTGCTCTGAAGGATGAGGACGGGCAGGCTGGCAGCGGAGGACACAGGGGAGAAATACCTCCTGAAGCCCAATCACACCCTCGTTCCCACCTCACCCTCACCAGCACGATCGCCTGGAGGCCCAACCCTTCCAATCAACGCGCCGCAAGAAGACAGAGACCCTCTTAGCTGAGCAACCATCGCACTCACTTCTCTAAGCGGCGTCCCTCCCGAGAGGAGGTCCCCGGACGCGGAGCACCACCTCCCGGACAAGGGGTGGGCTGGGCGGGGGTCCGTGGGGCCCGTTTGTATCTTGGGAGGGGAGGGAACATCTATGAGTTTATTTTCTTTCTTAAGTGCCTCAGAACGGTGACCGAGGCTCGACTCAGTAAACCAGGGGGGTGAGCGCCGAAGGACTGGCACAGGCTGCAGGTTACTGAGGTGAGACCACAGCCACGCTGCCACCTGTTTCCCACACGTCGCATCTCCTCGTTCCTCAACTCTTCCATTGCTTCCTTCTTTCGTGTTTCGTAGATATATTCTAGTCTACCGTTTGCTTCCCTTTCCTTTCTTTTATTCTATAGTTTTTACTTATTTTCTTAGTGGTTGCCCTGGGGATTATAATTAATATCCTAATGTGATGGTTAATTTTGTGTGTCAGCTTGTCTAGGCCATGGTACCCAGTGTTTGCTCAAACCGATCTAGATGTTGCTGTGAAGATACATTTAAAATGTTGGCATTTCAATCAGTAGGCTTTGAGTAAGTAGATGGCCTTCCATGATGTGGTGGGCCACATCCAATCAGTTGAAGGCCTTAAGAGCAAAGACTGAGGTCCCCAAAGGAAGGAGGAATTTTGCCTTTCGACTGAAAATTGTAACATCAACTCCTCCCTGGGTCTCCAGTCTGCTGGCCTGTCCTGCAGATTTTGGCCTTGTCAGTCCCAACAATCACATGAGCCAGTTCCTTAAAATATTAATAAATCAACAGTGCTCTGTTTCTCTTCCTCTGTGTGTGTATATACATATACATATATATAATCTCCTATTAGTTCTGTTTCTCTGGAAAACCCTAATACCAAATAGTTCTAATCATCAACTTAGTTTCAATAGTTTCAAAAACTTTGTTGCTAATAACTCCATCCCCACTTGTTGTATTTTCACAAATTACATATTTACACAATGTAAGTTTATGACTAGTGTTTTATGTAATTATCCTTTAAATCACATAGAAAAAAAGTAGTTACAAATCAAAAATATATTGACACTGACTTTCATATTTATGTATAAAATTATCTTTACTGGTGTTCTTTATTCTTCATGTGGATTCAAGTTATTGTATAGTGTCCTGTTTTTTTCTTTGGGGACAGAGTCTCACTCTGTCGCCCCAGCTAGAGTGCAGTGATGTCATCACAGTTCACTGCAACCTCCAACTCCTGGGCTCAAGGGATCCTCCTGCCTCACCCTGCCCTGGCCCCGCCAGTGGCTGGGACTACAGGCACGCACCACCAAGCCCGGCTAATTTTTTCTATTTTTTGGTAGAGACAGGGTTTCTTGCTGAGGCTGGTCTCCAACTCCTGACCTCAAGGGATCCTCCCGCCTGGGCCTCCCAGAGTGGTAGGACCACAGGCGTGAGCCACCGTGCCCAGCCTGTGTAGTGTTTTTTCATTTCAGCCTGAGGGACTCCTACTTGAAGCTTATTGAGCTTCTTCCATATATAGATTCCTTCATCAATTTTGGGAAGTTTCCAGCCATTATTTCTTCGACTATTCTTTCTGCCTCTTCTATCTCTTCTTTTTCTGGGACTTTGTGTATTTATTGGCACACTTAGGCTGTGTTCATTTTTCTTCATTCTTTTGTTCTTTCTATTTCTCAGTCTAGATAATCTCAATTGGCCTATCTTCCAATTCACTTCAAGTCCACTTTCTTCTGCTTGCTCAATTATGTTGAACCCCTCTAGTAAATTTTTCATTTTAGTTATTGTATTTTATAAGTCCGGAATGTCTACTTGGTTTTTGTTATTTTTATTTCTTTATTGATAGTCTCTATTTGGTGAGACATAATTCTCATGGTTTCCTTTGGCTCTTTGAATATATTAAATATAGGGGATTTAAAGTCTTTGTCTAGTATATCCAATGTCTGGTCTTCCTCAAGGACCAGTTTCTAGCAATTTCTTTTTTCCCTGTGTATATGCCCTACCTTTTTGTCTCTTTGTATGCTCTTTGTCTGTTTGTGCCGCTGTAACAGAACACCACAGACTGGGTAATGTGCAATAAGCAGAAATGTATTGGCTCACAGTTCTGGAGGTTGGGAAGTCCAGGGTCAAGATGCTGGCATCTGGAGGACGCCTTCTTGCTGCACCCTCACATGGAGAAGGCAAGAAGGTGAGAGGGCAGGAGGGGACCGAACTCACCCTTTTATAATGTCACCAATCCCACCATGAGGGTGGAGTCCTCATGGCCTAAACACCTCCCAAAAGTCCCACCTGCCAAAATAGTTACAATGGCAATTAAATTTCAACATGAGTTGAAATTTAACAATAGCATATGCCTCAGAATGTTTTGTTGAGAATTAGATATTTTTAATATTATAATGTGAGAAGTCTGGATATCAGACTCTCCTTGCTCCCTGGGGTTTGTTGCTGCTTGTAGCTGTTTATGTTTGTGTAGTGCCCTTCTGAACTGATTTTGTAAAGTCTTTACTCTTTGTTGTGTGTGACAACTGAATTCTCTGTTCAGCTAGCTGAGTGGTCATCAGAGACTTTCTTAAGAGCCTGAAACTGAAAAAGAAAGAAAAAAAAAAATCTCCCAGTCCGCAGTTCACAACTCTGCCTTAGCCCTCACTTCTTGCTTATACCAGGCCTGACAGCCAGAAAGGCGAGCTGAGGGCTTTCTCGGGTCTTTTCTGACCGTGCATTCAATGTGCAGTCATGTGGCCTTCTAGAGTTCTAGGAATGTGTTGGAGCTTTCCAAAGCCCTTTCTTTTTTTTTTTTTTTTTTTTTTGAGACAGAGTCTCACTCTGTTGCCCGGGCTAGAGTGCCGTGGCGTCATCCTAGCTCACAGCAACCTCAAACTCCTGGGCTCAAGCCATCCTCCTGCCTCAGCCTCCCGAGTAGCTGGGACTACAGGCATGTGCTATCATGCCCAGCTAATTTTTTTTCTGTATATTTTTAGTTGTCCGATTAATTTCTTTCTATTTTTAGTAGAGACAGGGTCTCGCTCTTGCTCAGGCTGGTTTCGAACTCCTGAGCTCAAACAATCCGCCCGCCTCGGCCTCCCAGAGAGCTAGGATTACAGGCGTGAGCCACTGCGCCCGGCCCCAAAGCCCTTTCTTTCTAAAGCAACTCATTCTCCAGCCTTTCCTCCCAAGTGTTTTGGTTTTATTGTTTGCCCCAAAAGGCAATGGCTAATACTTTTGCCTTTAAACTTTTCCAACAATTGTCCTGCTCTACTCTGGGAAAGTTCTAAGTTAGACAAAATACAGGCAAGTCCTTTGAGCCAGTCCTTCAAGGAGACACCAAACAGGTCCAAACAAGCCACCATAATTCTTTGAGAACAAGGTCCATTCTGCTCTGGTTGGTACCAGGAATCCATAGCAG